AGGAGAAAATACTGCACTCGGCGTTTATTATTGTTGTGGCTGGGATCTTAAATTTCGCAAGCTCCACTGGCCTATATTCCCCAGTGACTAAACGGTTATTAAGAAAATGAAAACTGGAGAGAAAAATGTACTCACGACGTCGTGTAATATCATATTATATTATATACATATATATATATATATAATTTATATAATACTCAGCTCTGTATTCCGACGGCATACGCTGTGCCGGGCACGACCGCAAACGCGATTTTATCGTCGTCGTACGTTGTAGTTAAAATAAATATTAATGATAATGATGATGATGATGATATATATAAATATAGCATTCCGTTAAAAAAAAAAAGCAAACATTAACACTTCCGTCTCGCGGCCACCTTTACGCGTTTTTCCGGTTTCTACCGACTACCCTCTGCGCAACGAATCAATTAAAAAAAAATCGATTTGTTGTATAAACGCATACAATATATCAATTATATTATTCAGATCGGTCGTATACTATAGTACCTCTATATAACACTATGCGAGATGACCGCYACTGCGTTTTCGTTACGATTTAAATGGACTAAATCGGCTTTTGACTACGTCGAAGGACTATAATACACCGGAAATAGACTGAGAATAGTTTACGGTGTATGGAGGTAATACGTGACGTGCATATTAAAATAAACATAGTGCTAAGTCCAACTTTTCGGGTGCGAATAACACGTCCGATGTTTGTCGGGTCGCGCTCGTCACTGTAATGCTATACCTATAATGTAATAGCGTTCACTTAGGCGATGCTTATAAAACGACAAACGCTACATCGGAAATCGATTTATACAATAAACACCGATCACAATAATTGCATTCATTTTATAATAATATTATAGTTAAATGCTGACACCTATAAAAAATGAAATAGTGGAGGGACACCGGACACCTATACAAAAATTACTCTACAGACTACAGGACTGGGTAAATCTGACCCGAAGACAATTTATTTTTTTATCGTTCATTAAAATATAAGCAGTTTTTATATTTAATTAATATTCATTTTTGACATTTATGATTTATTGTTTAATTTATGTTTGTAATTTTTTCTACGAATTTCAATATATTAAAATCAAGTTTCATGTGATATATAATATAATATAATAATAATATTAATAAATATTCTATACTAGAAGTACAGCAGTTGATTTGAGCGTAGCCACCGGAGTACCCTACAAAATGGTAGTCTTTGTACTTGGCCCATCTAAAATTTAAATACTTATAATTTATAAAGTATATAATTAATATAACTAATTGACTATTTGTTTGAAATATAATATACCTACATCACGTGCTTACATTTTCAAAAATAAATATTCTGTTTTTGAATATGAAAATACATAGAAATAATATTTGCTGTCACTTAAAAAAGCAGAAAAACGATAACAATAAAAAAATAATAAACATAATTTTTTCCAAAAATTTTGTTTTATTTAATGTATTCATAATATTATCTAAAAGAAATTTTACCAAAAAGTTCAAAATTTCCGAGAAAATGTATTGTTTATATTTTAAACATTCATACGTCATCATACTAGATAAACATTTAAAATTATATAAAACATAAAATGAAGTGTAAAAACATTTTTTTTTTCCAGTGAATTCGCATTTTTATAATAATAATAATAATAATAATAATAATAAAACTAATTATTATAAGTCCTTTTTATCCGTGTTCTTATTTCTCAGTTATTTGTTCTCGGAAAACGAGAGACTGCAGGATTTAAATTTCATCGRAAAATTTCCTATAGTGCGCTATTTATAGTAATAGTAATAAAAAATACCAAAGTATTGAAGACTATGCGCTCAGGTCGTTCGCCAGGGAATTCGACACCTCATACATACCCTATCGGGCTATACTATACAGTTCAATCAGAATTCGCGCGCACACCTTTTGATGATCAAATATTCGATCTTTCTCGGTTCGGGGAGTGCGATAAGAATATCAAATATAAAAGCGACCTGCGGTAAAGGCCAAAGGGGGAAAAAAATTCTCAAAGACTACCGCACCGATGTGTTACACCCCGTTTTTACTTTCCTTTCAATATTATAACCTACCGCCCTCGTCGCTGCAGTGAAACGGGAGTATTGAATATTATGGTAGCGATAACGTAAAAGTCCGTGTATATTGTATTGTATAGGTATGTAGTAGTGGTATTAGTATAGCCGCAGTCGT